ACCTTGCTTACTAATAAAGGAATAGCTATATCTAACACAGACATTGAAGCTTGCCATCCATTGCCCCGTAAAAACAAAGATGCCAAACTTGCCATAATTTTACGATTCACAAACAGGAAATTTAATAATGCCCTCCTCAAACAAGGGGAAAAACTCAAAGGAACTGAAGTGTATGTGAATGGACATTTAACAAAGAAAAATGCAAGTGAGATTGCAAGGAAGGCACGTATCTTAAAAAAACAGAGAAAAATACAGTCAACATGGACAGCAAACTGTAAAATATTCATTAAACTGAATGAGTCACCAGAGAAAGCCAAAGTCAGCGATTAAACACATAGAGGAGCTGGAAAAGTATGAGTGACTATGGAAATGAACGCAGGTAAAATAAACCATAAGAATAATGATGACACAATCTTCTGACCACGCAGAATATAAAGTATACAAATTAGATAACTACATATACCCAGAAAACTATCTCTATAACAATACAAACAACTGTGAATATTACACAGAGGAAACCTTTAACAATAATGTGAATATGGACGGAGCATTGTCAATAATTCACTTCAACAGCAGAAGTCTAAACAAAAATTTTGGTAAAATAAAGGACTACTTGAAAAACTTTAAGAAATTCTATATAATTGCCATATCGGAGACCTGGCTAGACAATGATATACTCACTGAAGTGGAAATAGATGGATATGAACTATTCACAATGAACAGGAGAAATAAAAAAGGAGGTGGGGTTGCCATCTATGCAGCTAATGACCTGAGATGCACAATGCTCAAAAGTATGACTGAAACAGTTGAAAACATCTATGAATGCTTAACTCTGGAGATAAATATTGAAAAATCTCAAAATATAATCATTTCTTGTATTTACAGAACACCTGGAAGTAGCCTCCAGACGTTCACAGATAGAGTAAACGAGATATATGACAAAGTAAATGACAGAAAATCGATAATAGTATGTGGTGATTTCAATATAGACCTGTAAAATCCAAACGAGCACGTTAAAACTGCCGATTTTATAAACACAATGTACGCCACCAACTTCTTTCCTTTGATCAAAAAACTTCCAGAATAACAGTAAATACAGCAACACTATTAGACAATATATTCACAAATAAAAGAGAAAATAAAATAACTAGCGGGTTACTCATCAATTATATTAGTGACCATCTTCCAGTATTTGCCATCATACAAAACTTGAAAAATACTGGAAATAACACAAAAATAGAAGAGCCCAAACTGACCCGGTGCAGAACAGCAGAACACATTGCAGTATTTAAAACAGACTTAAAGAATGAATCCTGGGAAAGACTATATAAACAGCATGATCCAAGTAAAGCATTTGAAGCCTTTTTAACAAAAATACTTGAATTTTACAATAAAAAATGTCCAATTAGAAAACGAAAACAACAACAAAATAATAAGCCATGGATGGATGACAAAGGGGCTACAAAATGCCTGTAAAAAGAAGAATACACTATAAAAACTATTCATAAAAACAAGAACAAAAGAGGCAGAAAACAGATACAAATCATATAAAAACAAACTAACAACTATAATTAGAACTAGTAAAAAGGAATACTATGACAAATTACTACAACTGAACAAAAATAATACTCAAGGAACATGGAAAGTATTAAAAAATAGTATTAATAATGATAGCAAAAAAAAAAGCCCAACTGAGGCTCTGACCAGTGAAAATGGAATTCCTATAAATAAACATGGAGAAATTGCTAACGCACTAAATGATTATTTTGTAAATATCGGGACCAATCTAGCTAATAGATAGGAAAACCCATAGGTGAATTTGATGTTACTAAACACATAACTGCTAATGTAAATACCATGTCTATTAAGGACAATGATGAAAAAGAAGTCATTTCCACTGTAAAAAAATGTAAAGACAATAGATCAAAAGACTCTTGAGGGTTTTGACATGTCATTAATAAAAAGTATAATAGAATGTATTGCAAAACCGTTTGCATACATTTGTAATCAATCATTTAAAACAGGTATTTTCCCCAGTAAAATGAAAATTGCGAAAGTTAAACCAATATTTAAATCAGGTGATAAAAAAACAGTCATCCAACTAGAGGTCAATCTCTCCATTGTCTCAGTTCTCCAAAATAACAGAGAAAATATTTGTAAGCAGATTGGATGATTTCATTGAAAAAAATTATCTACTAAGTGAGCATCAGTATGGATTCAGAACAAAAAGATCAACGGCAATGACAACAATTAGCATAACAGAGGAAATAGCTAAAGCGATTGATAATAAAAATTATACAATAGGAATTTATTTAGATCTTAAGAAAGCCTTTGATACAATAGATCACAATATCCTGCTAACCAAATTATATAAATATGGCGTAAGAGGAAATGCATATAACTGGTTAAAAAGCTACTTAACAGGAAGACAACAATTCACAGAAATCCAAAATGTAAAATCCCCAACAAAACAAGTGTACTGTGGGGTACCTCAAGGTTCAGTGTTAGGACCCAAGTTATTCACACTTTACATAAATGACATCAATAAAGTAACAAATCTATTGAACTACATTCTCTTTGCAGATGATACCAATATGTATATCACAGGGAAAGACATAGAACAACTATTGAATATGGTTTGAAGTGAACTATAAATACTAAAGACCTGGTTTGACAGTAACAAATAATCATTAAATCTAAGTAAAACTAAATACATTATATTTGGAAAACAAAAACAAAACAATATTCCTAGATTAATAATAAATGGGGTAGAAATAGAAAGAATAAATGAAATTCAATTCTTGGGTGTCACATTACACCAAAGGCTGAGCTGGAAGCCGCACATGGAAAATGTTAAAACTAAGATGTCTAAAATTATTGCAGTGTTAAATAAATCTAAATATATTCTAAATGGAAAATCGTTATTACTCTTATACCAATCATTAGTACTTCCTCATATGATGTACTGTCTGGAGGTCTGCGGAAACACTTAGAATTCTCAAATAAAACCCATAGTTACTACAGAAAAAAGCAATACGAGTAATTACCGACTCTGATTACCATGCCCCCTGTTTATAAAACTAAAAATACACCTCGGATGAACCTCATAGGCTATGATACTGCCACAGCGCAAAGATATAGAGCGTATGTGATCGTCAGTTACTTTTATCTGGTTCAGCCACCTCTGGGTCATGGTTTCAACACCCACTGCCATGGTTGCCTAATGGCCTTCAAATATCAGTGAATTACAGTTTACATCCATAAAAAAGCTTTAAATAAGATTGCTAATGTAAATGGCCAAATGTCAGCAAGGTAAAAAAAAACCATTGTTTTACCTCTTAACCTTTCTGAAAAACCACATTTAAACAGTAGGGTCATTTGGTGCAATGAAAACAAAACAATCACAACTTAAGTAAGTAAAAAACAATCCAACACAGGTTTCCAAGCGTTAAAACACTGATTTTCAGGCCCTGCCAAAACATTGCCAGGGATCTGCCAAAACGTAGATATTTTTCTACGTTTTGGCCTGTCATCCACACGAAAAAGTAGTTTTTTCACACGAAAACTGATCTTTTTAAAAACTCCGGCCAAAGTGAAGATCTGCGTTTTCTCCGTTTTGGGTGTCTGCGTGTGGACAGACAAAACCGGAGTTTTAAGGTCCGCAACGTCACTTTCCGCTACAAAAAAAAAAAATGCTGACATCACGTGTGCGACCTGTGTTTACACTAGCCGACAGCATGGATGCCCTCAGAGCTGCGCTCGCTTTATCAATTGTCCAAGCGCTTTTTGCTTGTTTGTTTTAGCAAGCGGAATTACCGCTCCTTGCGAAGACCACAGACGAAGGACAAGGTTAAGAACGGGGGAAGTACTGCCGCCTACAGGTCTGGCATTTCCATAACAACGTATTTATCTGGGAACGTGTGGACAGAGTTTTTTTTAATGAGGTAGTGTGGATGTAAGTTTTTGGAGGGGCAGATTTTCGTTTTTTTAAAAGCCCGGCTATGTGTGAATTAGACCTCAACATCCCAACAAGTCTCCATAGAGACTGACAAAAATTGCCTTTGACAATTATATTTCAAATCACCAAGGCAGGGTATTGGGTAAAGTTTTCAACTAGCAATAATCACACCTCGGATGAACCTCATAGGCTATGATACTGCCACTGCGCAAAGATATAGAGCGTATGTGATCGTCAGTTACTTTTATCTGGTTCAGTCACCTCTGGGTCATGGTTTCAACACCCACTGCCATGGCTGCCTAATGGCCTTCAAATATCAGTGAAATACAGTTTACATCCATAAAAAAACTTTAAATAATATTGCTAATGTCAATGGCCAAATATCAGCAAGATAAAAAAAACATTGTTTTACCTCTTAACCTTTCTGAAAAACCACATTTAAACAGTAGGGTCATTTGGTGCAATGAAAACAAAACAATTACAACTTAGGTAAGTCAAAAACAATCCAACACAGGTTTCCAAGCTTTAAAACACTGATTTTCAATATCACAACAAGTCTCCATAGAGTCTGTCTAACGGTGTCTTTGACGATTATATTTCTAATCACCAAGGCAGGGTATTGGGTAAAGTTTTCAACTAACAATAATCACAACTCAGATGAACCTCATAGGCTATGATACTGTCACTGCGCATAGTTAAAGTGAGTGTGTGATCGTCAGTTACTTTGATCTGGTTCAGCCACCTCTGGGTCATGGTTTCAACACCTACTGCCATGTTTGCATAATGGCCTTTAAATTGCAGTGAATTAGTTTGCATCCATACAAAGAGCTTTAAATAATTTTATCGAAGCTAATGTAAGTGTCCAAATATCAGCAAGGTAAAAAAAAACATTGGTTCACCTCTTGACCTTTCTGAAAAACCAGATTCTAACAGTAGGGACGTTGGGTGCATTGAACACAAAACAATTACAACTTAAGTAAGTAAAACCTGTCCAACACGGATTTCCAAGCATTAAAACACTGAACTTCAACATTACAACAAGTCTCCATTGAGACTGTCAAAAAATTGCCTTTGATGATTATATTTCAAATAACCAAGGCGGGGTATTTGGTAAAGTTTTCAACTAGCAATAATCACGCCTCGGATGAACCTCATAGGCTATGATACTGCCACTGTGCAAAAATATAGAGCGTATGTGATTGTCAGTTACTTTTATCTGGTTCAGCCACCTCTGGGTCATGGTTTCAACACCCACTGCCATGGTTGCCTAATGGCCTTCAAATATCAGTGAATTACAGTTTACATCCATAAAAAAAGTTTTAAATAATATTGCTAATGTAAATGGCCAAATATCAGCAAGGTAAAAAAAAACATTGGTTTACCTCTTAACTTTTCTTAAAAACCACATTTAAACAGTAGGGTCTTTTGGTGCAATGAAAACGAAGCAATTACAACTTAAGTAAGCCAAAAACAATCCAAAACAGGTTTCCAAACGTTAAAACACTGATTTTCAATATCACAACAAGTCTCCATAGAGACTGTCATAAATTGCCTTTGACGATTATATTTCTAATCACCAAGGCAGGGTATTGGGTAAAGTTTTCAACTAGCAATAATTAACACCTCAGGTGAACCTCTAATACTGCCACTGCGCATGGTTAAAGTGAGTGTGTGATCGTCAGTTACTTTTACCTGGTTCAGCCACCTCTGGTGCATGGTTTCAACACCTACTGCCATGGTTGCATAATGGCCTTCAAATTGCAGTGAATTACAGTTTGCATCCATAAAAAGAGCTTTAAATAATATTATCGAAGCTAATGTAAGTGTCCAAATATCAGCAAGGTAAAAAAAAATTAGTTCACCTCTTCACCTTTCTGAAAAACCAGATTCTAAAAGTAAGGTCACTGAGTGCAATGAACAATAAACAATTACAATTTAAGTAAGTCAAACCTGTCCAACAATGGTTTCCAAGCATTACAACACTGAAATTCAACATCACAACAAGTCTCCATAGAGACTGTCAAAAATTGCCTTTGATGATTATATTTCAAATCACCAAGGCGAGGTATTGGGTAAAGTTTTCAACTAGCAATAATCACACCTCGGATGAACCTCATAGGCTATGATACTGCCACTGCGCAAAGATATAGAGTGTATGTGATCGTCAGTTACTTTTATCTGGTTCAGCCACCTCTGGGTCATGGTTTCAACACCCACTGCCATGGTTGCCTAATGGCCTTCAAATATCAGTGAATTACAGTTTACATCCATAAAAAAGCTTTAAATAATATTGCTAATGTAAATGGCCAAATATCAGCAAGGTAAAAAAAAACATTGGTTTACCTCTTAACCTTTCTTAAAAACCACATTTAAACAGTAGGGTCATTTGGTGCAATGAAAACAAAACAATCACAACTTAAGTAAGTAAAAAACAATCCAACACAGGTTTCCAAGCGTTAAAACACTGATTTTCAGGCCCTGTCCACACATAGTCAGGGATCTGCCAAAACGTAGATATTTTTCTACGTTTTGGCCTGTCATCCACACGAAAACGTAGTTTTTTCACACGAAAACGGATCTTTTTAAAAACTCCGGCCAAAGTGAAGATCTGCGTTTTCTCCGTTTTGGGTGTCTGCGTGTGGACAGACAAAACCGGAGTTTTAAGGTCCGCAACGTCACTTTCCGCTACAAAAAAAAAAATGCTGACATCACGTGTGCGACCTGTGTTTACACTAGCCGACAGCATGGATGCCCTCAGAGCAGCGCTCGCTTTATCAATTGTCCAAGCGCTTTTTGCTTGTTTGTTTTTGCAAGCGGAATTACCGCTCCTTGCGAAGACCACAGACGAAGGACAAGGTTAAGAACGGGGGAAGTACTGCCGCCTACAGGTCTGGCATGTCCATAACAACGTATTTATCTGGGAACGTGTGGACAGAGTTTTTTTTTTAATGATGTAGTGTGGATGTAAGTTTTTGGAGGGGCGGATATTCGTTTTTAAAAAAACCCGGCTATGTGTGAATTAGACCTCAAAATCCCAACAAGTCTCCATAGAGACTGACAAAAATTGCCTTTGACAATTATATTTCAAATCACCAAGGCAGGGTATTGGGTAAAGTTTTCAACTAGCAATAATCACACCTCGGATGAACCTCATAGGCTATGATACTGCCACTGCGCAAAGATATAGAGCGTATGTGACCGTCAGTTACTTTTATCTGGTTCAGTCACCTCTGGGTCATGGTTTCAACACCCACTGCCATGGCTGCCTAATGGCCTTCAAATATCAGTGAATTACAGTTTACATCCATAAAAAAAGCTTTAAATAATAGTGCTAATGTAAATGGCCAAATATCAGCAAGGTAAAAAAAAACATTGGTTTACCTCTTAACTTTTCTTAAAAACCACATTTAAACAGTAGGGTCATTTGGTGCAATGAAAACGAAGCAATTACAACTTAAGTAAGCCAAAAACAATCCAAAACAGGTTTCCAAGCGTTAAAACACTGATTTTCAATATCACAACAAGTCTCCATAGAGACTGTCAAAAATTGCCTTTGACGATTATATTTCTAATCACCAAGGCGGGGTATTGGGTAAAGTTTTCAACTAGCAATAATCAACACCTCAGGTGAACCTCTAATACTGCCACTGCGCATGGTTAAAGTGAGTGTGTGATCGTCAGTTACTTTTACCTGGTTCAGCCACCTCTGGTGCATGGTTTCAACACCTACTGCCATGGTTGCATAATGGCCTTCAAATTGCAGTGAATTACAGTTTGCATCCATAAAAAGAGCTTTAAATAATATTATCGAAGCTAATGTAAGTGTCCAAATATCAGCAAGGTAAATAAAAATTGGTTCACCTCTTGACCTTTCTGAAAAACCAGATTCTAACAGTAGGGTCACTGTGTGCAATGAACAATAAACAATTACAATTTAAGTAAGTCAAACCTGTCCAACATAGGTTTCCAAGCATTAAAACACTGAATTTCAACATCACAACAAGTCTCCATAGAGACTGTCAAAAATTGCCTTTGATGATTATATTTCAAATCACCAAGGCGGGGTATTGGGTAAAGTTTTCAACTAGCAATAATCACGCCTCGGATGAACCTCATAGGCTATGATACTGCCACTGCGCAAAGATATAGAGTGTATGTGATCGTCAGTTACTTTTATCTGGTTCAGCCACCTCTGGGTCATGGTTTCAACACCCACTGCCATGGTTGCCTAATGGCCTTCAAATATCAGTGAATTACAGTTTACATCCATAAAAAAGCTTTAAATAATATTGCTAATGTCTCGTCTCGTCTCGTCTCGTCTTCCTCCGCTTATCCGGGTCCGGGTCGCGGGGGCAGCATCCCAATTAGGGAGCTCCAGGCCGTCCTCTCCCCGGCCTTGTCCACCAGCTCCTCCGGCAGGACCCCAAGGCGTTCCCGGACCAGATTGGAGATGTAACCTCTCCAACGTGTCCTGGGTCGACCCGGGGGCCTTCTGCCGGCAGGACATGCCCGAAACACCTCCCCGGGGAGGCGTCCAGGAGGCAGCCTGACCAGATGCCCAAACCACCTCAACTGGCTCCTTTCGATCCGGAGGAGCAGCGGTTCTACTCCGAGTCCCTCCCGAATGTCCGAGCTCCTCACCCTATCTCTAAGGCTGAGCCCGGCCACCCTACGGAGGAAACTCATTTCGGCCGCTTGTATCCGCGATCTCGTTCTTTCGGTCATTACCCAAAGCTCATGACCATAGGTGAGGATTGGGACGTAGATCGACCGGTAAATCGAGAGCCTGGCTTTCTGGCTCAGCTCCCTCTTCCCCACGACAGATCGGCTCAGCGTCTGCATCACTGCAGACGCCGAACCAATCCGCCTGTCGATCTCCCGATCCCTTCTACCCTCACTCGTGAACAAGACCCCGAGATACTTAAACTCCTCCACTTGAGGTAGGACCTCTCCCCCGACCCGGAGGTGGCAAGCCACCCTTTTCCGGTCGAGAACCATGGTCTCAGATTTGGAGGTGCTGATCCTCATCCCAGCCGCTTCACATTCGGCCGCGAACCTACCCAGCAAGAGCTGAAGGTCAGAGCTGGATGAAGCTAGGAGGACCACATCATCCGCAAAAAGCAGAGACGAGATTCTCCTGCCACCAAACTCGACACACTCCACACCACGGCTGCGTCTAGAAATTCTGTCCATAAAAGTGATGAACAGAACCGGTGACAAAGGGCAGCCCTGGCGGAGTCCAACCCTCACTGGGAACAGGTCCGACTTACTACCGGCTATGCGGACCAAAACTCACGCTCCTCTGGTAAAGGGACTGAATGGCCCTTAACAGAAAGCCACCCACCCCATACTCCTGGAGCGTCCCCCACAGGGTGCCCCTGAGGACACGGTCATAAGCCTTCTCCAAATCCACAAAGCACATGTGGATTGGTTGGGCAAACTCCCATGCCCCCTCCATCACCCTTGCAAGGGTATAGAGCTGGTCCACAGTTCCACGGCCAGGACGAAAACCACATTGCTCCTCCTCTATCTGAGATTCAACTATCGATCGGACCCTCCTCTCCAGTAACTTGGCGTAGACCTTTCCAGGGAGGCTGAGGAGTGTGATCCCCCTATAGTTGGAACACACCCTCAGGTCACCCTTCTTAAAGATGGGGACCACCACCCCGGTCTGCCACTCCCTAGGAACTGCCCCCGATGACCACGCAATATTGTAGAGACGTGTCAACCATGACAGCCCTACAACATCCATAGCCTTGAGATACCCAGGACGAACCTCATCCGCCCCCGGGGCTCCGCCGCTGTGTAGTTGTTTGACTACCTCAGCAACTTCTGCCCCCGAGATCGGACAGTCCATCCCCAGGCCTCCCAGCTCTGGTTCCTCCTCGGAATGCGCATTGGTGGGATTGAGGAGCTCCTCAAAGTATTCCTTCCACCGTCCGACTATAGCCTCAGTTGACGTCAGCAGCTCCCCATCCCCACTGTAAACAGTGTGAGCGAGTTGCTGCCTTCCTCTCCTGAGGCGCCGGACAGTTTGCCAGAACCTCTTTGGAGCCGATCGATAGTCTTTCTCCATGGCCTCACCAAACTCCTCCCATGCCCGAGATTTTGCCTCGGCAACTGCCACTGCTGCACCCCGCTTGGCTATCCGGTACCTGTCTGCTGCCTCCGGAGACCCACAGACCAGCCACGCCCTGTAGGCCTCCTTCTTCAGCCTGACGGCTCCCCGAACCTCTGGTGTCCACCAGCGGGTACGGGGGTTGCCACCACGACTTGCACCGGCCACCTTACGACCACAGCTAGCAACAGCCGCCTCGACAATCGCAGAGTGGAACAAGGCCCACTCGGACTCAGTGTCCCCCACTGCTCTCGGGACGTGGTCAAAGCTCTGCCGGAGGTGGGAGTTGAAGACCGTCTTGACAGGTTCTTCTGCCAGGCGTTCCCAGCAGACCCTCACTATGCGTTTGGGTCTGCCAGGTCTACGCGGCATGTTCCCTTGCCATCTGATCCAACTCACCACCAGGTGGTGATCAGTTGACAGCTCCGCCCCTCTCTTCACTCGGGTGTCCAAAACATACGGCCGCATGTCAGATGATACGACTACAAAATCTATCATCGACCTGTGACCTAGGCTGCCCTGGTACCAAGTGTACCGGTGGG